CACAAAAGGAGCAGACAGGGGGCAGCCGGGGATAGACAAAAGCATTGTACAAATATTTACCGGTGCACGTTACATTACAAAACCCTTTTAGATCACAGACAAATATTTTGGAAAGAAATTTGGGTACTATATCACACAGATATTCTAACAAACTCAGGAGCCAGGAAAGATTTTTTCATTATTATTTCTAAACACAACACATTGGATCCTTACGTGGAGTCGATTGTAATAACTGTAATGACATGAAGTGTATATTTTGTTACATGTGGGACTGATGATCTCTTCTGTAAACCTTCATTCAATTCACAACAAAAAGTGGAAAAATACAAAACAAAAACACATTGGATCCTTAGTTACCCCCAAGCCAAACACCTGGCAACTCAGAAAGGAATTCTTACTGAAGCATCAGAGACAAACACAGCCAAGCACAGCTGCTCGCCTCATAGAAACCTAGGAGGTACAGAAAGGAAGATTCTGTAGTTACAACAAGGCTCCCTTCTTCTACTCCCCAAAGCCCCATGCCTGTCTTCGCCTGCCAGAAGCTGCCCTATAGGACAGATGAGAATCGTCCCGTGTGGTTTTCTAGGCTGTCCTGATGTGGCGCTGTAGGGTAAGCACTGGACCACAAGATCGGCGGTTCGAACTCAACAGTGGCTCCTCAGAAACCCTATACAGGGTCACTGTGAGTCGCGACCCACTCGCCGGCACTTATTACAACAATAACCTTTGCAGGAAGAGTCCTGGTGTGGTGCTGCACAGCAAAGTCAGTTTGAACTACAAGGTCGGCAGTTCAAACTCACCAGACGCTCCTTGTAAACCCTATACAGAGTTGTTGCTGAGTGGAAGGTACTTAACAGCAACCATCTTTGCAGCTCTTTTCTCCCTTGGAGTCTCTGGTGGGTTTGAACCCCCCAATCCTTCTGGCTAGCAGCCAAGTGCTTAACCACTGCTCCCCCAAGTGCTCAGGCCTACCTACCCTCAGCAGAAGAAAGCGCATGCCTTAACCTTATTCACTGTCACCGTAGTTGTGTGCTGTGAACTTAGGAGACAGAGATGAACTTCCTCACAAGGGCTTCCTAGGCTGGAGAAGATGCCCTAGTGGCGCAGTGAATTGGGACAAGCCGAGGACCAGGCCTGAGCAGAGGTTCTGCCTCTTGTGATGTGGTCCAGCGGGCCTCTCTCTGCGCTGCACCGAAGCCAGAGCACACCCTCTCTATCCCTGGGGTCCACGTCCTCCCTCCCTATCTCCTCTGGCTACATCACCCTCCACACATGCCCTCTCTCTAGTCTTCAAGGACTGCCCTCCGCTCCCAGACCCCACATACTCTCTTTCTCATCCCCTCCAGTCTCCTCACAAACTATCACCATCGCCAAGCGCGGTTCTTCACTCAGAGTCCGCCCGCCAAAACATGAACCTGACGCCAACAGTCATCTCCCACTCTTGACCACCCCATGAGAGTCAGAGCAGAACTGTGCCCCACTGGGCTTTCAGGTGCCTCCGTGTAGACTCAAACGTCCAACCTTCCGCTGGCACCATGTGGGGCCTTAAAAGCCGAGGCTGTTGGATTCACTGTTGAGTCTCCCAGCACGCCCACCCAGTGCAGTGCACACAGTAGGTGTGCAGCAAACACGCCTGCAGTTCAAGGCTCCATCTGCTGCTGTGTGGTCCACTTGGGCTTTCCAGCCACTTTCCAATGGTGCTTCGGGAAGACGGAGATGATGAAATTAAAAGCATAAGAAGATAATGACAAGCCCAGGATGCCCTTCCCTAAAAGCACAAACACACAGCTGCTTCCTTCCGATTAGAAGATGAGAGAACTCAGGGGCTCTGGTGTGGGGGCTACCTGTCATTTATCCTTCTTTATTTGGTGAGGAGCAAAAAGGCAGAGATGCAGAAACAAAATCCTAGAAGACAAGCTCTCCCTCACGGTCCACAGAGAACAGAAGCTATGCCTAGCAAAGGGAACTGAGAGCTGAAAGAGAAACCAGGACAGATGGTCTAGGGGGCTTTGGGTGGCTGGCAGAGCTTCGTGTGCACTGGGGTACTTTCTGCCCACCAACCCAGGTGATTGGCAGAGTTGATAGAGAAACTGAGACTCTGAAAGGGGGTGGATGCCTAACCCCTGCCTCTCAACTGAGGGAGGGGTTTTCAAGAGACACCAGGTTTTCAAGAGACGCCCGGGGATGAGTTATGGCGTTTGCTGCTGGAAAGAAGATCCAAACGATTCTTTTTCAGCTGCAAAGCCATTTCCCCATAAAAAAAGTCAAAAAGATAAAGTGAGCCCACTGGAGCTTCCAAGAGGATGGGGAGGGGATTTGAACCCTGCCAATGCCAGCTCTGCCCACTGAAGTCACTCGTCCACACCCACAGACATACACACACACACACACACACACACACACAGCACTGGGGTAAAACTCTCTGGGACCTTGGGGAGGTTCCTCAAACATGCCTGGGGGTTCTAAGTTGTATTTTGTCCCCCACAAAAAAATAATATGTGTGTTGGAACTCCTAAGCACTGGACTACTAACGGAAACATTAGCAGTTCAAACTCACCAGCCGCTGTGAGGGAAAAACCCTCCACAGAGTGGCTGACACAGAATCATCTTGATGACAGTGAGTTATAAGGAGATCTGCTGAGGCTGTGGGTTAAAGAACTCCGTGTGTAACCAACCAAAAGTTCAGCAGTTGGAACCCACCAAGCCACTCAGCAGGAGAAAACCCCGCAGGCTGCTTCCCTATGGCTTGACATCCTCAGAAACCCTAAGGAGTGCTCAGACTTTGTTCTGTAGGGTCACCATGAGCCAGAATCAACTTTGCTTTGGTTTGGTGGATATAATGTCATTGGGGAACAGGGTTTTCTTGACCATGTGCATGAGCCCTTATCTATCTGCGTGTTGTTGTTAACTGCCGTCAGTTCTGACTCATAGTAACCCTGAGCAGGGTTTTCAAAAAGCAGCTAAACCAATCACTTTTGAGACGTAAAGAGGGCTGGGTAGACACAAAAGACTGAGGAAGACAGACACCACATCACCACAAAGTTCTCCAAGGAAACAAGGAACAAGAGTTCAAAGAGACAAAGATCTTCTCCTAGAGCTAAGAGAGAAAAAAACGCCTTTCCCCAGAGCTGGGTGGCCTGGATTCAGACTTCTAAAACTGTCAGAGAATAAATTTCTGCTTGTTAAAAAGCCACCCACTTAGAGCAGTCTTAAGAAACTGTGAAGCCCGGTTACCGGCTTCACAAGACAGGTTTCTGACATAAACAGCTATCAGTGAAAACACACCTTAGTAAAAATGAAAGTTGATGTTAAATGCCGTTGCACTGGTCCCGACTCATAGTGATGTTTAGGGTTTCCAGGATCGGCAGGGGGGTTTGAACTGCTGACCTTTCAGTTAGCAGTCCTACAGTGTCACACTCCAGGACCCGAAAAAATGAAAGTTGTTGTTGTTAAGTGCCATCGAGTCAGTTCCAGTTCGGCCTCAGTGACCCAGTATGGGGTTTCCCAGCTCCAGCTGTTAAGTTTGAACTACCGACCTCCTGGTTCAAACAGATTTTGCAATCCTACAGCGCCAGACCAGTGCTCTTGGGGGGGAGAGGGGCTGTGTGATGACGGAATGGTGGGGGGGGGGGTTGGCGGGTAAGAAAATGAAAGTAGAGCTGGCTGAATAGGGTGAGAGGTGACAGGGTGACAGTGAGGGAGGGAGGCAGCCCTGGCCATCACCCAAGGGTCCCCACAGACACAAGAACCTCTCCTCACACCTCCAGGCAGGAAGCCACTGAACAGGAAATGACAATGCTGGGAGGTCTAGGTCCTTAGGTCTGGATTCCTCAGGCCTGAGGGGTGGTGGTGGTTGGTGGTGGCTGTGTGCCATGGAGTCGGTTCCGACTCATAGTGACCTTGCACAGGGTTTCCGAGGCTGTCGATCTTTACCGGAGTAGAAAGCCTCATTTTTCTCCAGCGGAACAGCTGGTAGTTTCCAACTGCTGACCTCACGGTTCGCAGCCCGATTCGTAACCACTATGAAGGTAGGACAGTCAGGAACCCTTCCTCCAACTTCAAATGCTGGGTCCTTAGACAAACAACTGGACAGGCAAACTCTGATAACCTCCCAGCTTCCCGTGTGCCTCAGTGGGGTCCAGACCAGATCCGAACCAAAGCACTCTGGCCCAAGTCCCCAAGTAAGAACACCCAAGTGGCGGCTCCTTATCCAAAGCATCCTAGTCCTGAATTTCCTATTGAATCTGAAATCGCAGCACCTTGAACTGGCATGACAACCACGTGACAAAGCTGTTCTGACACAGATACAGACTTTTGGGGCATGACCACCAAATTCTTTCCTTTTCGAAATGCTTTTTGCAGTCTCTTAATCCCAGGGTGGTTACACCGCGCCCCGTCCCGCCCTGGCCTGTGCTTCTGCGGGTGCGCGCCCTCCGCTGCCCTCCCCCAGGCCCAGTCTAGGAGGGACCCCGACTGGTCTAAATTCTAGGCGGCGACCCTGCCGACAGCCAAGTCGTAGGAAAAGCTGGCTGGGGCCACGCGGGCCACCAGGCGGTCGGGAGGGGGGAGGGGCATGGCTGGCGCAGGGGCAAGTCAGGCAGGGCAAGGGCAGTGCGAGGGCCCAGGGGGCAAATGGGGGCGTGAGGGGGGCGCTAAGGAGCAGGCTTAACCAACAGTGGCGTCCCAGACTGAACAGACAGCGCAAGAAGCGTCAACCTGGGCGCGGGTCCCCGGGGCGGACTCGGGGGTTAAAAACAAGCGATTGCAATGTGGAGGGTGAATTGGCTTGGTCTCCCGTGACGCGGTAAGCTCCAGGGAGGGAACTCTTACCCTAATCCCCCAGCCGGGGACGGGAAGATCACCCCAGGCTGCAACACGCCGCTAGTCCAGAGAGCGACGAAAAGTCTGCACGGCTAACGCGGATCCCAAGAACCGCGAGATCGTGGTGGCGCGACGGGGAAAAGGGAGAATCACCCCAACTCTGGGGGGCGCCCGCTTACCCGGCCGTTGCGGTCTGTTTCCTGCACCTCCTCGGCGCGCGGCCCCCGGCGCACCAGTGCCTGCAGCAGTTCCACGTCGTTGGCGCAGGCGGCGCGCAGGAGGGTCGCTGCCTCCGGGATTCCCTCCCGGACGCCCTCCCCGCTCGAGAAGCATCGCTCCTCTTCGTCGGCGGCGGGGTAGAAAGAGTCGTCCGAGGCGATGCTGTGGGTGTCGGGAAGCTGAGAAAAGTCCTCATACTCTTCGTAGTCTTCGGAGTCCCCCTCGGCCGACTCAACCCGCGGCGGGGACGGCAGAGGCGGCGAGGAC